GAGGAGGAGGAGGAGGAGGAGGAGGAAGAAAGAAGACTAACATCTACACACATATTTGCATGTAAATGAAATGAAACTGCATATAAAGGAAAGAAAAAAGGAGGAGAATATGAGGAAAAAAAACATTTCTAGCTTGTGGAATCAAGGAAAGTTGCCCCGAGGAACTAATATTAAAGCTGTGATTTACAATTTGAGTAGAAGTTATGCAGGAAAAAAAAATTAGGAGAAAGGCAATTCAGGAAGAGAAGAGAACAGGTACAAAGGTGAGAATGCACAGAAGGGCGACTTGGCTGGAGCTCAGAGAACTACACAGAGAGGCTGATGAAGAGTTTAGAGAGGGCAGGGCAGAGCACAGAGCTGTTTTGTTCCCCTAGAGTTCTATCCTCTGGGGTGAAAGAACAAATATCAGTCCTGGACTGGAGTAGTAAAAATGACCTATAGAGCTAGATTTAGAGGCCAGAAAAAAGTCACATGTCCATCAGTGGTTGCTACTACAGAGAGGTAAGAATGACAGAGGTTTAATCTTTTAAAATTATAAATTCAATAAAGAGGCTGATTCACAGTAGGATAGGAAGAGGGAACATGGGAGGAATAGATGAACTCTAGATAGGGCAGAGGGGTTGGAGGGAAAAGGAGGGGGCAGGGGGTTAGAAATGATGGTGGAATGTGATGATAATTTTTCATATCTCTGGTTTATATAAAGTATGTTCACACCAATTCCTGTTTTCATACCTGTACTTTGTATAATAATGATCTTTATATACAACCAGAGCTATGAAAAATTATGCTTCCATTCTGCATCTGGTTTGCAAGGTCCATGAACACATCTATTTTATCTATTGCTCTCAGCCCTGGCACAGAAGGTCTTTAGTTAAAGAATCTATTGACTAAATTGAGTGAAAGGTTTCTTGAGTGAATGAGAAATCCCACATACTTCTTCATAATATCCAAAAGAGGTACCTAAAACATCCCACAAGTTCAGAATTACATGAAAGTAATTACATGAAGTCCCCAAAGAACAAAGTTACAATGGAGAGATCGCTCTGAGAGAGAGCCTGCAGGGCAAATTTCTGATATTTGTATGGAGCGATGGGTCTTTATGTTAAAAAAATTATTCATATAGATATAATGGTTAGAAGGATGGGAAGAATTATGATAACTAATGAATTTTGTCAATTCTTTTATAGGGAAGAAATTTTTATATTGTGAGCCACATAAGAGAATTAAGGAAGTGCTGGAAGAAGAACTTTATATTAAGAGAGATGAATGCCACATTAAAAATCCACCTTCAGGTAATCTCAGTAACAAAGTATATTTGTGAAGTGAAAATTAAATTGCCTATTTGATTATAGGGTGATTATTATATTTATTACAAAACTATAACTACCAAAAAGAAAATAGGTTCTTGAGAAATTCTTAAACTATTCTATAATTACTTTTCTGATGTCCAAATAAACCTGTGTTTAGAAAAAAATGAGCTACTGGTATGTACTTCTTTTCTCTCCCAATGTTTGGTGAAATTATTTCTACTTAATGATAAGTGCATTTTTCCCCAAATGCTTGAAAACCACAATGACATCTTCTGTCTTATCAACACAGGTATAGCCAATAATAGAAATTCCCAAACTTTAGATTATCTCAGAATTACTTGAAAACTTATTAAAGGTAGATTTCTGGTCCCCATCCCCAAGAGATCTGGCTTGACAGGTCTGAGATAGGGCCCAACAAATTTTTTTTTCTACCAACTTCCTAGGTGAGGTTGATACTGTGGGTCTAGAGACCCCATTTTGCCAACCTTTGACTCAGCAGAATTCTGGTTCACTCAAATAGGTCAAAATATCCAAGGGTTTTTGTGTCACAAACACAAGTGTGTATTACATGGTCTGGACACAAAAACATCTCATTGATGGTTCATGTGAGGATAGATATGCTCTATAAGCCCAAGAACTTATGCTTTTTTTTTTGGTACTTGTTATTGAACCCAGGACCTTAGCCCACAAATGTTATTTTGAAACTGCCAGTACCCCGCATTCCATGGCTCCTTCTCAGTGAATAGATACATATTCCATGCTCAGGTTTTTATTGTGATGCTGTAGGGTACCAGCAATTGCTAGGAAAAAAAAATAAAAATAAAAGAACTGTAAGATAGGACTCCCATGCTCAGAAAACTTGATGTTTTTTAGGACAATTGTTGAACCTGCAGATGGGGCCCAGATTCCCTCAGGATTCGTAAGAGCAGATGCTGTAGGTCCAGAAGTCTACCATTTCAGACTTCATCCTGCATAGGCTCATTTTATGTTTCTAAACCAGCTATAGAAACATCTTTGGGACCTTCTTTTATTGTCCTTTCTTACAGAAGGAGAGACCTATGTAATGGCCACATTTGCTCTTACAATGGTTTTAGGAAGTTTTAATTCTATGAATGAATATAAAGTTTGACATTTGTGAATGGATGCAGAATGACCTACAATATTTCTACTGTGAATGCAGCAGAGATGCATTATTTCCTCCCTGGTTAATTTTTCAAAATCTACATTATATTTTAGATTTATCTTGTTTTCAAAGACTACCTACAAAGTTAATTTGTACACTAGTTGTCTGTTATCTTATTCTTATTGGATGTGCTTTATTATGATGCCATTTAGGTTTACAGAAAATATAGTTTGATTTATAAAAATTCATTTTTCTAAGCCCTTTTTCCAAATATTGTTCATACAAATGAAGACTTTCTGGGCTGCATTTTTATAATATCTATCAGAAGTTGCATGGAGGTATTATTTTAGCCTATAAAACATTCAAAACTAAGAATAGATCCTTAAGCTTAGGTTTTAAAGGTTCTACTTATTGAAAAGAAACATAAATTTTTAAAAGGGCTAGAAGCCCTACATCCTTGGCCAGAACACAGAACAAGTACCCAGGGAGGGTGCCACACTCTCTAGCCCTGAGCCAGCTACTTGACCATCTGGCCATTGCAGTGACACGCCCTCTTTCAATACCTGATAACAGCTATGGCTTTTCTTCCTGGAAGACACATCTTGTCACATACACCCAGAATTCTGCATGAAACTTTTAGGGACTTCAGTGGCTCTTATAACTGCTATTTATGGATATTCAAGAATAAGTACATTTGGGGGACTGGGGTTGTAGCTCAATGGTTGAGCACTTGCCTTGCATGCGTGAGGCACTGGGTTTGATCCCCCGCACCACATAAATAAATAAATAAAATAAAGATATTTAAAAAAAAAATAATAAGTAAATTTGGTTTGGGGTTGTAGCTCCGTTGTTGAGCACTTGCCTAGCACATGTGAGGCACTGGTTTCAATCCTCAGTACCACATAAAAATAAATAAATGAAATATAGGTTAGAAAAAAAAAGAATAAGTACATTTGGCCAGGTGTTGTGGCACACGCCTGTAATCCCAGTAAATCGGGAGTCTGAGGCAGGAGGATCAAGAGTTCAAAGACAACCTCAGCATCCTATCACTGAACTACAACATCCAGCCTTTTATTACTATTTTGAGGTAAGGTCTCACTAATTTGCCCACGCTGGTCTCCAATTTGCAACAGGTAATGCAAATTTGTACACTAGTTGTCTGTTATCTTATTCTTATTGGATGTGCTTTATTAGGAGGCCATTTAGGTTTACAGAAAATATAGTTTGATTTATAAAAATTCATTTTTCTAAACCCTTTTTCCAAATATTGTTCATACAAATGAACAATATGCCTCAACAGGTAAAAGTATGTAGCTAGGACTCTAAGGCTTCCCTTCTCTGGCTTTTGATTCCCACTAGGCTCCTGATGCAGAGATTTGTGGGCACAGTGAGAAGCACAGGATGCTGGGGTGAAGGGTGATGATGATGGTAGTGATAATGGTGATAATAATAACTCCCATCATTTATAGAAGTATCTTCTGCATGTATCAGATTTTTTGGTTATTGTTTTGTTTTACAAATTATCTCTTTTTATTAGTGGAACAACACTGTGTGAATATATGCTCTTTTATTCATATTTTGCTTATCTGGAAGCTGATGTTCATAGGATACATGATTTACCTAGTGTCACACAGTTGGCAAGTGGAATAGCTGGTCCTTGAACACAGGCTTGTCAGAAGCTGCAGAACTTGCTGTCAGCCATTGGATTATTCTGTCTTCCTTTAAAGCATAAAACTGTGTTTTCAGAGAGGAATAAAAATTGAAACTACAATTTTAGTAGCAGTATAGAGTCATCTTAAGAAAGAAAGGAAGAAAGGAAAGAAAGAAGGAAGGGAGAGAGGGAGGGAAGGTAAATTGCCATTCTTCTCTAGGTTGTTTCAGTTTAACCTTCAGGTTCAAAACCTGTGCTTCCAGAGGTTTGCCCATTCCTATCAGACCTATTATAGGCAGAGAGCCTGGACCTATTATAAAGTTTCTCATCATCCTGAAAAATAGAAATGCACTTTCTTCATCATACCTTCCAGTCAGTGGGATAAAGAAGAATGAAGCTAATGTGATTATTCATAACTTAGTGATTCCCTGAAGATTTCCCCTCCCCACTTTTTAAAAAGAGAAAACTTAGCTTTTGGTTTCCACAAACTTCTATGGAAGACTTTGTAAAAAGAAGTTAATATGTTAACAATATTTTCATGTAGCAAAGGCTTTTTTATCTTTCTAATTGAAACCTGCAGAAGTTATATTAGCCATGAAAATTTGATAAATGAAGCTTAATCAAAGTTTTCCTCTTACAGAATATTTCTTTTTGCAATGAATTTCAAAGTGTACTTCCAAGTCCATTAATATTTGTCTTTTTGTGCCTTAATACGTGATAAATTAACTTTGAGTCTGGTTTATTTACTGCGCTTAGTACAAATTTAGAAAGTGCAAAATGTTGTTTGGGCAAGGGTAAACCAGTTGGATATTAATTATTTCATTCAACAAAAGTGTTTTCATGCATCTATAATATACAAGGGTAATTGTGTAGCCTAGGAGTCACTGAACACAAATTAAAATTACTTGCATTTTTCTTCCTTTGGTCAAATCTCTGAATATGTTCATATAAAGGAAGTATAGAAGATATGACTCTAAACTGGCTTTTTCAGTTCTCAGGCTCATTATTCACAGTCCAGAGAGAGCTAACAGGAACAAAAAATATTTTTAAAGGGTGAATTTACTTTTCCTGTGAGGCCAGGCTAGGTCCCACTGACAAGAATTTTTGGCATAAGCATAGTTTCATAATTTTTAAAGTTAGAATAAAAACACACTTAAGGTGTCCGGGTATAAGGGGTTGGGTGCATGAGAGGGAAGAAAGAAGAATCTCTGGAAGGTTCTAGGAAGAGGACTCAATTTCTTATTCTTCATTTCTCCCCTGCTGCCCATTTCTTTTTCAGGCCACGATGCCAGCACAGAGGTCTTGCAGGACCTGCTGTGTCTTTCTTCCACCTCCTGAAATGACATGCTTAGAGCTGAGGAGTTCAGTTTCTAATAAGAGAAGCGGTTGCCTCAAAGGGCATCTGAGATTCTTTTTTTTTTTGGTACTGGGAAATTAACACAGGGACACTCAACCACTGAGCCACATCCCAACCCTATTTTGTATTTTATTTAGAGACAGGGTCTCACTAGTACCACACCTTTGCAAAGGCGACTTTGAATTCTCGATCTTCCTGCCTCAGCCTCCTGAGCTGCTGGAATTAAAGGCATGTGTCACCTGGCCAGCCATCTGTGATTCCTAATAGGCTTCTTTTTTCCCCAAGTGACTATATTGCCTTCTGAATTTCCTCACCCAAACATCAGACCAAATAAAAGTAGTAGTATTTTTTTTCCTGTAACCTCTATCCCTCAGGACAGTAAATTCTTATGTATAACTATATTTTGTTTTGAGGGTTTTAATGAATTTCTTAGCATCTGCATTTATATTTTCAGATATTTTCTCTATTGATTATAAGCTTCAGCTATTCTTGTGATTCCACTGGAAAGAGCCCTACTAAATTCCCAATCTCTAAATTCTTTACTTCATTTGATGTGTTTGTTTAGCATAGATCTGCTTTCTGATTTTAAGCTACTTTCCATTTGCCAGATCTTCCCATAGTATATAGATGAATCTAAATTTATTTCCCTGGTCTATTACAGGAAGTCACACACAAGTAGGTATTTAATAAATGTTGGTGGTAACCTGAATTTGAGTCTATTACCAGGGGCTGGGGATTATAGCTCTTTCCTATTTCTAGACAACACAGATGAGGAAACTGGCTTGAATGGCAGAGGAGATTTAAGTTAATATAGGATCTTGACAGAGAACATGGAGTCTTCTCTGAAGGCCCTGGAAGAAGGAAGCTAATCTTGATAGATAGCTTGAGAGAGGCAAGAATTGATGCTCAGCTTGATGAGTCAGCCAGTGATTTCCTGCTATGAGTGAACCTAATAAGCTCATGCTTGGGCGATAAAATCATTTCCCTGTAAAAATAATAGCAACCATTTATTAAGTACTGATCACTTTATGCCTGCCTTACCTACATCCTACAATATTCCTTCAAGGAAGATATTATTATCCTCGTTAAGAATAAATAAACAGCTAATGCCTGTAAAATACAAAATAGGCTGAAGGTGTGGCTCAGTGGTTGAGTGCCCCTAAATTCAATCCCAAGTACAAAGTAAATAAATAAATACACAAATAAATAAATAAGGGCCGGGTGCAGTGGTATACACCTGTAATTCCAGCGGCTCAGGAGGCTGAGGCAAGAGGATCGAGAGTTCAAAGCCAGCCTCATCAAAAGTGAGGCACTGAGCAGTTCAGTGAGACTCTGTCTCTAAATAAAATACAAAATAGGGATAGGGATGTAGCTCAGTGGTCGAGTGCCCCTGAGTTCAACCCCCAGTACCAAAAAAAAAAAAAAAAAGGAAATTGAGACATATGGATTAAATAATTTGCCCAGAATCACTTAATTGGAGGTGGTAGAACTGACACTAAAATCTTGCTGTCCTCTAAACCTAAAGACTGTACTCCTAGTCATCACTGGGTACAAAATCACTTGGGGAAGGATTGAGTGTCATTGAGGATGCCAGTAGGCAGCTCTGGATCCATGAGGAGAATTCAGCATTAAAATTTGTAGGCTCAGGGTTGGGACTGTAGCTCAGAGGAAGAGTACTTGGCCAGTATGCATGAGGCACTGGGTTCAATCCTCAGTGCCACATAAAAATAAAACAAAGATATTGTGTCCACCCATAACTAAAAAAAAAAAAATGTAGGCTCAGAAATCAGAAAAACAACTTATGGCAAGGAACCAGAATTCAGAAACTTACTTAACTTGGATTGTGGTTTTCTGCACAGTTAAAGTCCACATAACGCTTTTTAATTGACTCTCAAAACTTAAAGAAGTGATTGTAGGATATTGTGTCAGTTAGCTTTTTGTCAATAAAACCAAAATACCTGATACAAACAACTTAAAGGAGAAAAGGTTTACTTTGGGCTATTTTAGACTTCTGAGTCCATGGCCTACTGGCTCCATTGCTCTGAGACTGAGGTGAGGCAGAACATTGTGGTGGAAGACAGCTGCTCACCTCCTGGCAGCCAGGAAGCAGGGGGATGAGTTGCATGGGACAAGCTATAATAGTTCCCAAGGACACTCCATCAGGGACCTACTTACTCCAACTAGGCAAGTCTGACCTCTGGACATTGATACATTATGAACCAAGCCGTTGAGGGATATTCCAGATCCAAACCATAACAGATACAGAGGATAGCCCAGTGCAAATCATTACTAGAACTTACTGAATAGTGCCAGGATTTAAGACCTATAATTTTCCACGTACCAATGTGTACACATAACTTTCCAAGTACTTTGCTATGGTTTTTTTAAATGTAGGATCTGGGCTGGGTCATGCTCAGTGGTTGGAGTGCTTGCCTAGCACATGTGAGGCATTGGGTTCAATCCTCAACACCACATAAAAATAAATAAATAAAATAAAGGCATTATGTCTGCCTACAACTAAATATATATATATATTTAAAAAACATAGGATCTGGTGATTTTGTTGTTACTTCTTTCAAATGGGAAGTTAGACAACATCTAGTTTATAGTTTTTAGAAGATTCTTCCATCTATTGAATAAATTAATGTGTTTTTTTTCTTATCTGTAGAAATATTTCTAACCTGCTGCAGGAGTTAAAAAAGAATCAGATAAGGTTGACTGAATACACTCTATGTGTTAACTTTTACTCCTGTTCTTTCTGTGTTTTGTTCTACATGTTCCTATTCTGACTTGTTTTTTTTTTTACTGTTTCTTTATAACTGTACATAGCATTAGGATTCATTTTGACATAATTTTAAAAGTATAGAATATAATTTGCTCTAATTCAGTCCCCAGTATTACCCGCTTTCTCTCTCTTCCCCCCTCCCCTGTTCCCTTCCCTCTACTCTGATATGCAGAAGCTAGTTCAAAATAAGGGCAGGGAGGGGACTCCATCAAAATAGAAGGAAGACGGTGGACTAGATGAAGGGGACTAAGAGGGGAAGGAGAAGGCACAAGATAAGGGAAGAACAGAGGAATGAATCTGACCTAACTTTCCTATGTACATATATGCATATACCACTGTGAATCTCACCATCATGTATATCCACAAGACACTTAAAAAAAAAAACCCTATTCTGACTTTTCATATATTTGTTTAGGTGTAAGATAAATTACAAAAGGGCATTATAGAGGTTTAGTTGCATGGGGGATAACTGAATGCATGAAATGGAATAAAGACCTTGGGGAGTTTGATTAATTAAATCAAAAACTTGCACCCAAATAACTAAAAATAAATAATCATCAAGTAAATACTTTAGAAACACTTGTGTTAAAAAGAGAATATGCTAATGATCATCATCTTGCTTTTGAAAATATTGACAGTGGTCCTGGAAGGGATCTGGAGCATTAAAAGGAATCTCCCTGTGGGGGGCTTGAAGCCAGGACTGCCTAGCAGGAACAGTTTACTGCCACAAGCCAAATACTATTCCAGGCACGGAGGACTGAGAAGTAAGACCCTGACACCCTTGACTTCCACAGACACCCTGAGGGTACTGCGCAGTTTACAAACCAGTGGTATACACTTTGTTTAAAGATCTCAATCAAAACTCAACCTGCCCCTGTCTTTCTCT